ACTAGATAGAATGGACTGTAAATAAAAAGCAGTCTGAAGAAAAACTAACTGGTTGACCCTAGAATAGCCTACAGTTAAGAAATGTCAGTCTATAATTTTCATTTCCCACCCTTTGATAGTAATACATCATTTTAGGATTCTGTGTTTTGGGAGATTTTAGCAGTTATTGGGATTTCTGTAGAAGATACTGTTGATGAGATAGGAAATATTTCATCAGGCCGTGGCAGAAGGAGATTAGATAGGAACCAGGATTATTCTATTGTCTCTGCTGAAAAACTAGCGGTACCAGATTCTTCTTCTCCTAAGGGAAGGTTGTAATCACTGTTTTCTTATTACAAATACCTAAGTTCGTTTCCCGCCATCCCTTAGCATCTCTTTTTTTTCTTTTGCTTCATGCCTTCAGACTATCTTGCAATTAGGATTGTAAGTTAAGCAGGGAGCCCTTTTTTGTCTGAGGAACAAGATAAGTAAGTGTTGGAAACCGGAAATACTTACCATATATAGATTAATTTTTTAGAAAGAATATATATTTTGGTTATTCCAATATCTTTAAGCCTCACTGTTTCTTAGGAAAAAAGAATCTACTAATCTAGGTTAGCACTGCATTTTTGGTACCCTGGATGCTTATCAACAAAAATACCATGTCCCATCTTTAACACAGGGGTGGATACTTAAAGGGGGGGGAAACCTCTTAATATATGTGCGGAAGCCATAAACATTTTTGCTCATTGAACAGATACTTTAAAATATTCTCATCTTCACAGGAAACTCTTGCAGGAATTGCTTACACAGCAAAATGACTGCACCACATTCATTCATATAGAAATAGCTATATTTATAGTTAGGGAATATAGTCCCTAACCAAGTTTAGGGACATCAATTATAGCCTTTTTATAATTGCCAGACAAATTGGATTAATAAACTGAATTACCTATCATCATTTATGGCAATCCAATTTAACTCCTTTTTATATTAAAATAGTTTATTCAAAAAACCAATTTAACTCTTTATTATGAGTTATTGTGCTCTAGATTAACAGTTCCTGAAGACAAGTGATATGATCTATGTAGTCTCTAAGAGTTAACAGCAAACTGATGATATATAATCAGTTGAAATATTATCCCTCCTGAATATCCACAGTTCTTGTTACTTACAAGAAAGTAAGCAGGTACTTACTCTCTCTTTGATAAGTTTCCACCTATTATGTCCCAGAGAACAAGTCAATCATCTCTTCTTTGTAACAACCCCTCAAGTATTGGAAGACAGTTTTCATGTTCCCCCTGATCTTTCTCTTTGATAGGCTGAACATAACTAGGTCCTTCAACTGTTCATCATACAATTTAGCCTCCAGATCCGTTATCTGTTGCTCTTCTTGGCACACTTTCCAGGGTCTCAACACCTTTTTTTGCATCAAGGTGACCAGAAATGGATGCAGTATTCCAAGTGTGATCTCAGCAGTACAGTGTAAAGCGATACTATCACTTCTCTTTATCTTGACACGATCTCTTTATTGGTGCATGCTGGGGTTTTGGCTCATACTTAAGTGATGGTCCACTAAGACACCTAGATCTTTCTCACAGTTACTACTATTGAGCCAGGTGCCACCTATTCTATATCTATGCATTTGGTTTTTCCTGCCTAGGTGAAGGACCTTCTTTTCTCTCCATGGAATTGAATTTTGTTGGATAGAGCCCAATGTTTAAATCTGTTAAGATCCTTCTAGATATTGAGCCTATCTTCTAAAGTATTAGCTATTCCCCCCACCTTTGTGTCATCTGCAAATCTGATGAGTTCCCCTTCCATTCTCTCATCCTGATGATTTATGAAAATGTTAAAGAGTACTGAGCCCAAGACCGAACCTTGTAGTACCCCGCTGCATACTTCCCTCCATGTAGATGTAGTTCCATTGAGGACTACCTGCTGAGTGTGGTTGGTCAACCAATTGTTAATCCTTCTAGTGTTGGTACTGTCTAACTCATATTGTTCTCTCTTACCAAGAAGTAGGTTGTGGTCTACTTTATCAAATGTGTTGATGAATTCTAAGTTTATTATATCCACAGCATTTCACTGGTCCACCAATTTGTTTACTTTATCAATACCAATATCATATAAGGTTTGTCTGGCATGATCTATTTTTTACAAACTTATGTTGGCTCTTAGTCATCACCCAGGTGCTCACAAATCCCTTACTTGATTATCTTTTTCAGAGTTTCCCCAGGTATTGATATTAAGCTGATTGGCCTATAATTTTCTGGATTCATTATTCCCCCTTTTTGTAGATTGGAACCACATTGGTTTTTTTCAATCCTTTGATGTTTCCCCTGTGCAGCATGAACCTTGAAAGATTACAGGTTACATTCAATGTCTTCGATATTACATCTGCCAGTCCTTTAAAATTCTGGGCTGTAAACGATCAGGTGATCTGTATTCATCCAGAGTGGATAGGTATTTTCTTACTAATCCCTTGCCTATTTTGACTTGTATAGCTGTTCTATCTCCATCAGTGTTGCTTTTGATAGGTTGGGCTATTTCTTCCTTCTGCATAAAAGGCAGAAGCTTTTAGTATTTAATCTATTTCTTTTTCCCTCTGCCTTGCTGCAAACTATCACTTTTCTGCAGAAGTATCACCAGTTACATTGAACAGATTTCTAGGCAACACAGCAGGCTGACGGGGAGCATATGGAAGACCTCTTTCCCCTTTTGTTGATTTGGGAGGTGAACAGTCCAGTTTATGGTGTTCTTCTCAACATCATCCAACCCAAGATCCAACCCAATATTTTCATAAAATGCCAACATATACAAGACATTTAGTGTTATGAAGTATTCCAGTTCTAAACTATTATTAACGTAACTGGAATGTGTTTGTATATTGAAACAACTAAGAGGTATATGATATTGATATATGATATTGATATCATCAGTCATCTTATTCTACTGAGTAACTTAGGAAATGATTGAGAACCTTAATGTTATGGCAGGAAGAGTCTGTTGTAGTGCCTGGCCATTGACTTCTGGGTCTTATTTTGCCTCTTTTCCTTTTCATCTGCATAATATTTCATCTACATTGGAAGAGGCCATGCAGAGGTTTTTGTTGAAGAGTCATCAATGTGTCTATGCAAAAAGTGTCATTTATCAATCTCTCTCTGTCTATTCACTAGTCTCAGGGATAAAACAGAGAATTAAATCAGGCATGTATATATAATTATGGGATGAGTAAAAGTCAACAAGCCAAGGCTTAAACCAGATAAACAGAATTACGGTGAATGTTGAAATCCACTGCTCTGAATTGAAATATGAGATTTTTGTCAGATAGGGGGACTATGAACAGATAGGGGGACTATTCATAAGCACAAATCATGTTGGTTACCAGGATTACCTTTTAAAGCTCCTGGTAGGCCAGCTAGGTCCTTACCTAGGAGAAAAAAATCTACTATACTACATTCTTCATATTCCTTTTCCTTTGAGATGCTGGAAAGCTTCCATTTTTCACTTGTTTGCTCTTTTCTCATAAGGAATTCAGTCTCAGTTACAAAATTTCAAATTCTGCTACAGTCACAGACATAATAAATTGTATACAGAATGCTATAGTCATATTAATACACATACCCTTTGATTGAGAACTCTGCAAAGAGTTCCTCCTGCTTCAGAAATTCTATTGTCATTTCAGTATTCATATGGTAAACCTCCTATGCATTATTTCAGTATGTCAACTCATGCTTTACTCTTGGGATCAATTTCCACGAATGCTGTTCAGCATATCCATAGTATGTTGCCTTGTTTTTTCACTGAAACTTGCATATTTACACAAAGCATTAAAATGCACTATAATTTAAGAATGGGGTTTAAAGTTTCTGAACTGATTACATAACCTATTTTGAAAAACAAATAAGGCCCCATTCACAAGGACAAGTTATTATCAGGAATTACAACAATCAATCATTTCAAATATAATGCTAGACCGTTCTTTTTTTAAAAATGAAATCCAGGGATGATTCACTTTCACCTTGAGAAATCAAGAACCGACAAAGATCCAAATGATAAGTGTAATAGTACAAATACTGATAATGTAGACTGTTAACAACCAAAACAGCCTATTTGAAAAATAAAATAGCTTTCAGCTTGGTGCTTTCCAATCTTATCATCCCCTTTTTCAATGGGCACAGTCTACGCTACCCAATATGCTTGGCTGACATCAGACTATAAAAAAATGTTTCTAAAATGATAATGAAAATGGCAAAGCACAATCCCTTCACACAATCTGGTACCCTACAGAGAGGTTGGACAACAGCCAACAGAGAAATGGAATTGGATCAGCCACTTTTGTTGCCGCTGTGGCTTGTTAGTTTATATCTGATTCATTTTCCAAAATAGAAAAATGAAGCATTAATGTACAATAATCCACCAGATACTCTTTAAAACATACTAATTTCTTAACAGTATTTAATTGGATTCACTCTAATTTGCCCACTTAGCAGGCGAGTAAGTAAGGATGGGGATTTCAATGCTTCTTTTAACTTTGATATCACATCTTCAGGTAGACCTATACTGTATTTGATCTAACTAAAGAATGAGCCTTAAAAAAAAATACAAGCCAGTTCTGGAAATCAAATATTTAAACTGGAAAGATGTCTCCCTGCCACTTCAGAAAGAGGAAGTAAGTAGCTTTGAGGTACTCTGCATGTTCTCAGAGGCACTCCTATGGCCGGCTCTTATTAAAGTTCATCCCTGAGCCCAGCTCCCTGGGCTAATTCGAGAGAACTTCCACTTAGCCACGAGAAACACGGGTCTTGAGAAAGGCTGTCCTGTCCCTTGTTGTTGTTTTTTTTTTCCTCATAGCGAGTTATTAGCTGCCTCTTCAGCTATTCCCAAGCTGTCCTTTCACACTGCGATACCACGGACAGTTCCTGCTGTTGCCGGCCGATCGCCGTGGGAAGGCAGCCTCCCTACCTCGTCCGGGAACTGAGAAAGTTTGGTGGGAGCGGAACGCGGCGCGCTCTTACCTCTGCGCGCAAGGGATGGAACCGCTGCTCGCCCGCAGCGAAGAAGAACCGAGATCAACGAGGCGAGGCGGCGGCGGCGGCGCAGGTTGGACGTTCAGCCGGGGTCGAGCCGAACAGGCGTCTGGCCGAGGCGAGCGCGTGTCCAGCTTAGCAACACATTGACAGCAGCTCCTCCGCGTCGGTGAAGGAGACGGCCGTCGGGGCGGAGCTACCGCAGGCCGCCCCCGCTCTCTTCCCTCAGCGGGAGAAATGAAGAGGGGCCTTTCTGGGGCCAGGTTGTCCTTTTTCTCACAGGGATTGTAGATCCCACCACATAATGAACCCCCAGGCGAGCCTATTTCATCTGAGCCTGTGGTGCGAACCCAGCCCATGCGCTTCCTTTCTGATTTAATGTGGTCTGCGGAGTCCAAAAAGCAGGTTGAGTAACCCCCTTCTCAGATGAAATCCTTTCTTTCTTTCTTTCTTTCTTTCTTTCTTTCTTTCTTTCTTTCTTTCTTTCTTTCTTTCTTTCTCTCTCTCTCTCTCTCTCTCTCTCTCTCTTTCTTCTTTCTTTTTTCTTCCTTTCTCCTTCCTTCCTTTCTATCCTCTGTCTGTCTGTCTGTCTGTCTGTCTGTCTGTCTCTATCAATCAATCAACCTACCTACCTACCTACTTTGGCCACCTAATGAGAAGGAAGGACTCACTGGAGAAGAGCCTAATGCTGGGAACGATTGAGAGCAAAAGAAGAAGGGGACGACAGACAACGAGGTGGCTGGATGGAGTCACTGAAGCAATCGGCATGAGCTTAAAGGGACTCCAGAGGATGGTCGAGGACAGGAAGGCCTGGAGGAACGTTGTCCATCGGGTTGTGATACTTCGGACACAACTTCACAACTAGGAACAACAAATCTGTCTACCTACCTACCTACCTACCTACCTACCTACCTACCTACCTATCTATCTATCTATCTATCTATCTATCTATCTATCTATCTATCTACCTCTATCTGCAGCCAGCCATCCATCCATTTATTTGATTGATTTGTGAATTGTCCCTCTGGTCTAGAGGTGACTGCTGAACTAATAATATTCTCTTTTCCATTCAATGCAGCTCCAGTATTCAGGAAACAAACAGGCTAGTTGTCAAATAGCAAGTAAGTTAATATAAATACATTATACACACAATTCCCCCACAATTTCCCTTGTCCCTATTTAGTATCAACTGAGTGAATTTAAGGGCTGGGATGGGTCCTCGGGTTAGATACTTTGCACTGCTCAGGGCAGGATAACTGATGTGCTGTTCCACTAATGTTTATTCAAGTCACAATCCACACTTAATAGGAGTGATTAGGGTTCTTCCACATAACCACAGATTAGGGGGAAAATGTCTTACATAAAACACAGCCCTCCATCTTTCCCCTCACAATCAGCTGTCTCACAACTGATAACCATGCCAAACAGGTGCTGTGCCCTGTCTAACCCTGGATGGGCCGCATTCTGATTTTAGTTTTACACATCTTATGAGAACACAATTACTGAATACGGTTCTACCAGTTTTCTAGATTCCCAATTATTTCAGGTGGGTTTAATGTTCTTTCTCAAACTAGCTGCACAGCTACTCAGTTGTTCTGAGCAGATTCAAAGAAAATAAATATTCCTATCAAACCCCTGAGATGTAAAAATTAAGATAAAGGCTTCTAAAAACCAAAGGATGAGACTTTTCAAGTAAGGGGAATGTACAGTGTGTGTAAATAAATACACATACACATATAAAACACACATAAATATAATATACACACAATACACACACAAATATAATATACCCATCATCATGTATCATATTCAGCATGATAGTTTTCCCTAATTGCAAATATAATTAAAGAAATGTATTAATCTGAGTGATTTGAGACCACTCAGAGATCTGTTACAATACAGTATTTCCAACATCTCAGCAAGGATTTCTAATATACCATCTAACAACAAATACAATTTAAAGTTTTTCCCATCCAAATTAGGTGGCAGAGGGAGAATGCTTGGCCCCAAAGTAGTATATGTAATCCTTGACTTACAACCATTCATTTAGTATCAGATATATATTGATGGTCGTGCTCATTTGGTTCTATGAGGAAGTTATTTGGTCAATACAGCTTCAGGTTCAAAAGGTTGTTTTTATTATTTACAAATATATACATGCATACGATAATGAACAGGGTGTCCTGTTACATTTTTACCCTAACTGTATGACTCAGATGTTGAGAGGAGAGAGAAGTTCACGTGTTGTCTCGCTGAGAGATGAGAGAGAGAGAAAAAAAGGGGAAGATATCCAAGTGGTTTCTAGGTAAGAGTCCAATAAGAGAGTTCATTGGCTGATATAGTCACATGTGAAGACTTAACCCCTTCTAGTCTCTGCTGCATCATATGCAGGCAATATCTGACATTTAGTGACTGTTCAAAGTTACAACGGCACTGAAAAACGTGACTTGTGACTGTTTTGCCCAGTTACAACTGTTGCATCATTCCCATGGTCACGTGATCAAAATCCAGGCGCTTCATGACAGTTGCACTCTTCCCAGTCATGTGACCACCATTTGTAACCTCCCCAGCCAACTTCTGACAAGAAAGGTCGATGGGGGAAGCCAGATTCACTTAACAATGGCATGATACACTTAACAACTACAGTGGTTCACTTAACAACCATGACAAAAAGGTCATGAAGTAGGGCAAAACTCACTTAACAACTGCCTTGTTTAGCAATGGAAATTTCTAGATCAATTGTGGCCATAAATTGAAGACTACTTGTCGTTTTTTATGTGAAAGAAGTTCTCACTGTTTCTTGAATTCAAAATGTGCTGGGAAGCACCTTGTCCTTTAATCTTAATTCTGTTTTCCCAGTTTCCAGTTGTTTGTAGATGAAACAAATCAGGAAATTATCCGTGTTGTACTGAATTAATACATGAACTTATTTGAAACACTTACAGCCATGTGAGACCCAGAAAAATAGATTTGCTGTTTAAAATGTATACAGCAATTGCAATGTTTAAAGTTGATTGCGCCATCTGGTGGCAAGTAAAGAGTTTTCTTGCCTTGAATGGCTTTGAACAAAAACTGTTTCAAAGCCTATTTCCATCTTTATAAGCTTCCCTGGTGGTAGTCTCCGCTTTAGAATATGCTTGTATGGCATGCTTAACCATGCTTAATTTATGGTATAAACCATGGTTAAACAAATCTATTGTTTGTTACATTAACTCAGTTTTCTGGGTACCTATAGCCCAATGAGCTATACATAAATCAACAGTCTAGTTTAAAATACTGCTGGCTGATTTATGGTTCAGTATGCCATACATTTCAGGCCTTTCACTAAAGCTCACTAACCAGGTTGTTTTTCAGTGCTGGCCCACATATGAGAGTCTTCTCCAAAGCTCCACCAGCCGCTTCTCTTTCAATTTTTAAGCAGATCCTCCCAAGGATTTTTAAAATACTAATTAGTCCATTGAGGTAGAGATAAGCTACCTATCTGGCCCCAGGTATGGCATGACTAATATACCAAGTTTTAAAGCAGCTGTTTTTTAAATTATAACCTACCTCAAGCAAACCTGTTCTAGAAATATTAAATTTGCTACACGCACCAAAACTAAGACTTCAAGATTCCATTCATTTCCGTAAGCTTAAATTCTCAAAGTAATACCACTGTTGAGCTCAATAGGTAGTGTTTCCCCGAAAATAAGACCCTGTCTTATATTTTTTTGAACCCCCAAAACTACCAGAGCCTTGGTAGTACAGTGGTTTAATGCACCCTGTTATTAACACAGCTGCCTGCAATTTCTGCAGGTTCGAATCTTACCAGGCTCAAGATTGACTCAGCCTTCCATCCTTTCTAAGGTAGGTTAAATGAGGACCCAGTTTGTGGGGGCAATAAGCTGACTTTGTATAAATATACAAAAGTATGAAGGCTATTGCTTAACGCATTGTAAGCCGCCCTGAGTCTCCGGAGAAGGGCGGCATATAAATCAAATTAAAAAAAAAAAAAGCGTGTGGCCTTGTTTTCAGAGAGGTCTTATTATTTTGGGGTGCATAGAGCAAAATGGAGCTCCTCTTGCTGTCTTACCTGATTTCCAGCTCTGTGTTTAAATATTTTCAGGGAAGGCTTATTTTTGGGGAGAGGCTTATTTTAGTGCATGCGCTCAAAAGCCCGATTGGCCTTATTATCAGGGGATGTCTTATTTTCGGGGAAACAGGGTAGTTTACAGTAATGCGGTTACTTTAGTTTTGGTAATTGGTGGCTTTTTTCTCCCAAGTCAGCGTTGATTCCTAACAACTGCCTGGACTGGTCCCTGCACTTTTCTTGGCAATGTTTTTGCAAGAGGCTTGCCATTGCTTCATCCTAGGGCTCAGAGAGTGACTGGCTTAAAGTCACTTAACTGATTTAATGCCTAAGGCAGAACTGAAACTCAGTCTTCTGGTTTATAGACAGATGCCTTAAACCATTATAAAACAAATTTTCTGCTTAGTATATTATGAACCTAATTGACAGAACTGCTACTTAAATGAAAAATATGTCATGACATCAGCTCAGACAAAGCAAAAGTTCCTTCAGCAAGGTAGTACAGGACGAATTATGCTTTAAAAAGCTCTGAAATATATGTACTTTCTCAGCAAAATCACATTTGACAAAAAAAATAATCATCTTATTCCCCAATAAATAGAAGTCTGCTAAGCTACAGAAGATTGAAAACATGAAATAAATTCCTTTCTCAGATAGGAGATCAGATTAAGGTGTTAGTTTAATGCCAAGTGGAAAAGTACCCGTGTATTTACAATGCCTACAAATTGAATTGTTTTCAAATTTAGTCAGTTAGCATTCACAAAGCAATGTCAATGAACTTTTAAACTACTTTAAAATAACACTCACTTAAGCGAATTTGAGGGGAGCTCTAGATACCAAAATTAATTATGGCAAAATTTATTTATATCTTTCATTATTTTTATAAATAACTGAAGGTGGCGATCACACACAATACTCCCTCCTCCTCTTTTCCCTACAACCTTGAGTGAAGAAATGCACATGTAAACTAATTACTGCTCACACACCTTGCTTCATTCACATTTTATGCAAGATCCAAATAGCCTGGTCATTTGAATGCGATCTATGTAGTCACTAAACAATAAACCGATGACACATAATCAGTCAAAATATTCTCTCCCCTGAACATCTACAGTCCTTGTTACTTACAAGAAAGTAAGCAGGAACTCAGACTAGTTGGAAAAAGCTGAGGGATGGCACTAAATTCTAGCCTGCACATGGTGTATTTGTCACTTGTACTCAAGAGATTAAGTGCCTTTGAAAAAGACAAGTTACCAAGGAATAAAGTAACATATGAACGTCTGTTACTATTTAGAACCTTAAAAACATTTTTTGTTCATGACAAAGTGGGAGTCAACACTTCATGGTTGCTTGAAGTAGAGTAAGAAATATCTCACCATATATTTCCATAATTAGCCAGATAATTGGAACACCTTGAAGCAGAAAAAAAATAGACATACCTTTTTGCTGCAGTAAAACATCATTTAAAAAAAATCAACTCATGTATTGTCCTTTTAATACTCTCACTACGAGTATGGCTAATCTTCATGAAAAGAACTAAAGTTTTAGACCTGTTCTCCATATTTCACTTAAGAGAAGTCCTTTAATGTTGAGAATTTTGCATTAGCATTTTCACTATTGAACAGAAAGCTATATTTAAACTACAGATATGACTAGGCATAACTTTTAAGGAAATAAAAAATAGGCACTCCCCAGTAATATAACTTATACGCTGAAAAGAATTTCTTCTTCTCAAAATGAAAAGGAAAATAAACAAAAATTTAATAGAAAAATTTATTGTTCATTGTCCACCGGTACAAAAATACAGTATAGCATGCTGAAATAAGGCAACCACCATAACATTCAGTGAGAGATTTTCTTTTTTGTTCCATTAATGAAAAACTTGGAAGATGAATGCACAAATACATAAAAGCGAAGTTTATATAAATCAACCAAATGGAGTAACAGGCAATTATATCAGGAAAAAGTACACATAATCATATAATTAGCATTTGTTTCATTCTATTCCTGGAGCAAGCAGGAAAATGAGGCTATACATACCACAATCCTAATGTATTTGGGAATAAATCCTATGGAATACTCTTGTACTAATACTAATTAGTACTTAGGAATACTTAATACTCTTACTTCTGAGCAGACATGCATAGGATTGCATTGTTACGATAGTCTCTACAGCAGATTTATTTATTTAATCAATTTAACTTCTTGAGACTTATAGATATGGTTCTAATTTAATCTTACTCAATTTGGTGATTTACATATGAGCATAACTCCCATAATTTCAGCCAACATGAATTGTGGGAATTGTATCCTAAATATGTTTAGCACTACCAGGATGAGAAATACTGAATTAAATTCATGTTAAAGGAAAAAATTCCACATATTTTCTCAAAATCTGCTAAAATGAACAAGTTTTATTTGTAAGATATTTTTAAAAAGATCTTTGTAATTAATGCCCTCAACATAATCATATATATGTTCCTATAATTTGGCTTTAAATTCCATTTAAACCTGATTACTCATGCAGTTAAAGTTGAAGCATTTATTTAAGGTATTTAGCCATTTTTTTCTTCTATAAATATCCATTTCAATGTAAACAAAGAAGGACGTACTACTTTATTTGAATTCAGTGTGTGAAAATTAGACAGCATTTGATTTACTATCTACAGTATTTTTTTTTGAGAGCACCAACATTTTTATATGAAAAAAAGTTAGAGTAACGTTTAAATTTAGATGGTGAGCCTATACAAAATAGATCTTCAGGGTATTATAATTCATCTCCAAAATGTTTTTTCTTGAAAGCATCCCCCGTTAACTTCTCTTGGGCTACCTTCATCCCTTGGATGACTGCAATAGTAAAACACAAGATATTCTTAGTACTTGGTACAATTCAATTAAAATAACTGAGCAAAGTTATATTTTTATAAGCTACTTCAAAAAAGCTATACATAAATATGTAGCAATATTTAAAGTAACATTATCTTCATAATGCATTCCTATCATGGCTCATATGCAACTCTTTTTCTTGATGACTTGTTTTTGTTTCTGTCAACATTTTCCCAGACTGAAAGTCCTCAATTTATTCCTAAACGTGATGTCTGTTTAAAAGGCAGTTTTAAGAAATTATAGCTGCATTCATTTATTAAATATATATCCAGTCTTTTATTTTATACAACTCAAGTACCATATTTTTAAAATCAATTTACTGTTTTGCTAAACCATATGAGAGTTCCTATGTACCCAACACCATTTTCTGATGTCCAGTTCTGGCTTTCCGTGGTGCAGCTGTCAGCTGACTCGCTTTCTTCGTTGCCTGCATCAACTTCCTGATCACAGTTTGCCAAACAGAAATGGGAGGGGGGGCTGGTAAATTCCTAGGGTGGGGGGAATCTAAGGAATGCATGAAAGCCTACTGCACTGGAAAGGAGATAACCACCAAGGCCAAATTCTCAGAGGTGCAGAATGTTTTTCCAAAACAAAATTACTGAGTGTAATTGGTAGACAATGAACTGTGGGCGACCCAGGGGTGAAAAGGGGTTTTTAACCTATGTGGGTTTTCGCGGGAAAACCTCAGAGCTGACTTTGCTTCTACTGTGCCTAAATGGATCTTTCAGTAAAGTTTTACTCTGGGTAGTTCCTACAACCAGGAGTTTCTTTTTTTGGATGTGCCAAATGGGACGGTTGACAGTAATTCAGCTCTCAAGTTTTCCCGTGAAAACCCTCATATATTAGACACCATAATTAATATTCATAAATGGCATTTTAAGGATGTCAAGGTAAGGAGTCCTGGAATGTACTGAATATCCCTCCAGGTGTTATGTGGCTTTTTGAATGTCAACTGCCAATATTTGTTCAAAGCATTTTTTTCCTTAAAACGTTTTGAACCCTTAGTGTAAATTTCTCAGAATATAAGCTCTGATCTTCCCCCCACCCCATCAGAAGTAACAATCTGATTTGGCACTGCTGTACAATTCAAGTCTCCTTTACCAAAACCCAATTTAGATGCAATTCATACATACCTTGATCAGCACTAGTATAAAAATACTTGTAGTTGGGGTTTCCTTTCTCATTTATGATCTCTGGATGGATCTTTCCACTGGGATCTGTGTAAAAGAAGAGATCAATGAAAAATGATGATTGCAATCTGAAAGGTATTTCTTTATCCTTCAACACAAATTGCTGAACAACCACATTTATATCATACCCATGAAAATAATTCTAGGAATGTAACCTCCATCAGGGCTAAAAGCTTCATCCTTAGGTTCTTCTTCATCCTGTAAATAAAATAAAATTAGCTTTATTTGTCCATTAATCCTCCTTAATAGCCTACTGTATATCAAAATCAGAAGGGCTGTTACAATAGTATAGCAATACTTCACTACTCCTATGTTTCATATACAATGTCTTCAGACAGATATGGGAAAAGAAAAGTCACTTTTTAAAACCTAAGAGACTTGGTGTTATTAATACAGACAATACCTGCTAAAAAGAAATAAAGTTTGTCTTCATTAAGTCAATTCTTTCTATTCTTAAAATAATTCCTTAGATAATCTTGATTTTGAAACTAGAAACTTCTTGAACTGAGGAACATATTACATATATGTAATATACATCTTTCTTATGTTTATGAAAATAGTATATAAAATTTAGGACATGAATAATGCATTATTTAATGAATAATGCATTAAATACATTTTCATGGAAAAATCATGTAACAGAAACCTTATTAAAATATGTTTGTTTCTGAAAGAAAATCATTTATTTTTGCATTATGCAACTTATTTGAAGTTGCATAATGCAAAAATAAATGATTTTCTTTTCAGAAACAAACATATTTTAATAAGGTTTCTGTTACATGATTTTTACCATGAACTAGAAACCTGTTGGGCCATCATTCAGAGATATCATCTTATATAAACCAAGAAACATAGCGACCATGGTTGGCAAAATAATCAGTTGGAATGGGAATGACATCAGACTTCCTCCCTCCCTCCCTCCCTCCCTTATGCCTTCAAAATGGCAGAGCTTCTGATATGCTTGAAAAGCATTTAAAATTTAAAGGAATTATTCAGAGATGTATCTGCTCTGAAAGTAGCCCATGCTAAACTGTACAGCATAGTCAAACATCAGCAATGAATCACAGAAAATGATTTATGACATTTTGTATTATATAATAAAATGCTTTATAATTTTTATGTCGTAAAATGTTTTGTAAAATAGGTGAAATTTCAATTCCAGAGAAATTTCTGGTCCTACATTTTGGATGCATTCTTTCAGTTAGCCCGTTTGAGGTATCTACATTGAAAAGTTTTTGCCCTATGATTTGCACCTTTTCACACAGTTGAAGGTTACAGTGGCAAGAGGTTTAGTAGTATATAGATAGCATTCAAAGTAAGAATGATTTATGTCAGTATTCTAAAAACTTACCTCGAGGTTAACCATCACAAAATTATGGGCAAGCTCAGAGATTTCCTTTGATTCAGCAAACTTTGGTTTTAAAGCTAATAAAATATAAAAGGGGAAACTAATCATTAAAGACACAAATGTAGCAGAGTTGGATTCAGACTAAGTGGGATGCATATAGATCCCACTGAATCCAGTACTTATAGTTAGTAGTGACTAACTCAGGCATACAGTCTAGGATTATATCCCACCATAATTTACATAAATACCAATATTATTTTTTCCTTAATACTAATTCAGAGATAGAACAAATGGGCATCTTTAAACTGAAAATGGAAGCATAAATGAAATTAATACTGTATTACTTTTCTATTAACGCTTGAGGTGAGGTTAGTTCATCAGTGTACTAAACCAGGGCCTCCAACATTGTCAACTTTAAGACTTATGGACTTGAACTCCCAGAATACCTCAGCCAGAAAAGCTAGGAGTTTCTATATGAAAGCAAAACAGATAGTCCTTGACTTACAACAGTTCACTTAGTGATTGTTCAAAGTAACAATGGCACTGAAAAGTGTGATTTATGACTGTTTTTCAGTTATGACCCTTTGCAGCATCCCCATGATCATGTGATCAAAATTGAGATGCTTGGCAACTGGTTCATAATTATGATGGTTGCAGTTTCCCGGGGTCATGTCATCACCTTTTGCGACCTTCTTATAAGGAAAGTCAATGGGGAAGCCAGATTTACTTAACAACCGGGTTACTAACTTCAACTGCAGTGATTTACTTATCAACTGGGGCAAGAAAGGTCGTAAAATGGGACAAACTCACTTAACAAATGTCTCACTTAACAACAGAAATTTTGGGCTCAATTGTGGTAATACAGGTAGTTGAGGACTACCTGTATACACAATATGTTGATGGTAAAAATGCAGGTAGTCCTTGGCTAATGACCATAATTGAGCCCATAATTATGACTATAGGTTGTTGTGGTTATTACGTGGCTTACCACATGACCATGACCAATTTTACAAACTTTTTTGTAGTGGTTGTTAAGTACTGTATTTTTCGGAGTATAAGATGCACCTACCTTTTTGGGGGAGGAAAACAAGAAAAAAAAAATCTGCCTCTGCCTCCCAGCAATTTGCCTCATTGTAGCGAACAGCCTGCTTTAGTTTCATTTTCATTTTCAGCACAAGAAAAAGAAAAATCTGCCTCCCAGCAATTTGCCTCCTTGCAGCAAGCAGCGGAGGCCTGTGCGGCAATAGGCAATAGCAATCCCTGCAGCCTGAAACAGCTGAGAGTCGGGAGACCGAGCCAACCGACAATCAACTGCTTGTGCTAATCAGGCTGTGCTGAAGCTGAAACGGGCTGTTTGCTGCAAGGAAGTAAATTGCTGGGAGGCAGAGACCAAAGGGTGGGGGCCAGCAAGTGGGCGGGGCTACATTCGGTGTATGACGCAACCAAATTTTCACCCTCTTTTAGGGGGGGGGAGTGCGTCTTATACTCCGAAAAATACGGTAAATCTGATTTATCCAGTGAGTGTTTTTTGCTAGAAACCAGAAGTAAATGCTGGAAACTGGCATCAAGAATATCAAGAATCACAGTTACGTGACTGCAGGATGCTGCAAACAGCCATAACAGTGAAGTGCATAAAATGCAATCATGTGACTGTGGGAGGGGTGTGGCTATTTGAACTTCAAAATTGATTATACTTTTTTTTTTGGGGGGGGGTGTCCATCATAATTTCAAATGGTTGCTCAGTGACCGGTCCTTAAATTAGAACTAGCTGCATGCCGTTTTCACAAATATTGCAACTTTCCCATCTGTTATTCTGTGAAACATCACTAACGTTGTCTGTGATATCTTACCTTTGCAAGCACCACACCAGGATTTATGAATTATTATCATGAGAGGCAGTCCACTAAAAAATAATTGAAATATACAATTCAAATAATTATCAACACATAGTTCAATTCCAAGCTCATCATATATTAAAGCTGTAATACCAAATCACCTACCTAACCAAATCTGCACAACTCATAGGAAAGGGCCACATTGATTGATTAAAAGTAATTATGGGGCGTAATTAGCTGTTTAGCAGCCACAGTGATGGAATTGGTAGTCTTGGTGAAGCCAAGAAGTACTGGAGGTACTCAACAGTCTGTCTTTGGGAAGCCAGATTCTTTCTGCATTGCAGAAATATTTGTTGGTGAAGTTATGGTTAGAAAACTCTAGAGAGCCATACAAAACTGGGCCCATATATTGTATGGCTCATTGAATACCATGAATAGCTTCACTTCTGTTCTGCAGCAAGGTGAAATATTCTGACTTAATATTTACACTTACTTTCAAGCACGGATATTAGTTACAGAATCTATTTTAAAGTTGGACATCCCATTGTAGCTGTATTTCCAGACAATACTCTGTTTCCCCCAAAATAAGACATCCCGTGATAATAAGCCCAATTGGGATTTTGAGCGCATGGCAGTAAGGCCAAGCACTTATTTCAGGGTTCGAAAATATATATATATATGACAGGGTCTTATTTCGGGGAAACACGGTATGTTTTTTGTTCTTACATAAAAAGTATTTCATTCTAAAACAAATGATAGGTTGTGTCAGATCCCATTGACTGGAACGGAGCTTACTTTCATATTAGCCCATTCTTTTCTTAGAAGAGGCTTTTCCTTTGTCAATCTTTCATGCTTCTTCTATCCACTCCTGTCTACAAATGGGACACAAGATGATGCTAGGGACTGCAGCAGGAAAGGGGAGTGGAGTCAGTAGAAATGAATGCACAGTTGTTTTTCCCTTGACAAAGGTTTAATTTCTAACTGCTCAGACTTCTTGACTCTTAGAGAGCATGATCAATTCAGCAGTAACAGAGACTTCTGTACTTGTGTAACATGATATTCATCAGCTGCATTCTATTCTAAGGCTTAGCACAAGTACCAAAGCTTTAGCAACAGACATCTTTTCCCCAAATCCCTTCAGGTCTGAGTGCTGAGGTTGAAGTTCTCTGAATGCGTAGCGCTGAACTGATACAACTTAGAACATGTCTGTGCAGACAATTTAAGATTACAACATACCTGGCTGAAGCCTCCTTTTTCCCATCTTCTAGTGTTCTCCAGTGAATGTGATCTCCAAAACCTTGGAAGGAAAGAGCGAATATATACTGTCTGATTTAAAACAATGGCCCCCAATCTTTTTGGCACCAGGTGTTGGTTTCGTGGAACACAATTTTTCCTCAGACCAGGGGCGGAGGATGGTTTTGGTTTCGCTCAATCACTTGCCGCTCACCTCCAAAGTTTCTAACAGGCCATGGACTGCTATTGGTCTGTGGTCCGGGATTTGGGGACCTCTGATTTAAAACATTCATAGATAGTAAAAATATCTATCATGTGTAATTACTTAGATTGGTAAACACAAATGACATTTTTCAGAAAGTCCTCAGTGTCTCCTTGAAATCTTACAAACTTATTGTGGAGTAAGCAATTTTATATATTCATTGTAAATTGCATTATGTCCATTTCTTCAGAACTGAGTTAGTGAAACTCCACAGACAATGATACTGCCTCAGCACAGCTCTGTAGGTATATTATATAAAAAAAAATTACAGAATTTGTGACATTAAAAGAAAGCTTGTTTTTAAGAGATGTATAACAAAAAGTTGCACAATTAAAAAAACAACCCTATTTTAGGACAATCTATTTTAGATGCATTACAGTTTAAATGCATCTCAATGTTTTCCACATATTGGAAACTGTGTGACATAGCTCACTTGCTACACATTTGTACAACAATATTTATGAATACCAGGGCTTTCAATATAGCCTTTATTGGAGCCCAGTACCTTGAAAACCTCTCTGTTTTTACAATAACAGCTATAAGCAGCATTATTGGCTGCTTATACTAAAAATCCATATTTTTAGCATAATTAGCATAATTACTTTTCAAACCTTACTTACAGAGTAAAAACATTTATTCTTTGCTAGGTAATTGCAGAATAACTCAAGTTTCACTAAGAACAGAACTTCCTTTCTTAGAATAAGCAATATTATGTAACTTTTATATTTTCCTTCCCACAGACATTATCACATTTGTCCCTGAATATAGAAGCTGTGTAAAGTTGTCATTGACACTGAGGATTATTCTGCATTAGTTTCTATTCTACAAAGCAAGTAAGCCTATTCTGAATTGAAGGTCAGACAGAAAAAAGCATTCTGAGAAATCATAATCAAACAACAGGAAAAGCAAAGAATTTAAAAATAGTTCAGATACTTCAATCTATATTTGGCAGACAGCGGGAAATCCCCAGGAGTAACTTGTCAGTGAATAATAATAATACTTGGTGGGATAGTAGTGGATAGCCTGAGTCATTTCCTCTTCTTGCTTAAAATGTAAAGAAGTTAATTTGCATATAAGTGGCACTTTAATGTGTGTACGTGGCCATTAGAAGTTGGTTATTCCTACTGTATCTTAAATAAGAATCATATCTGCTCACCTCCCCTCATACACTAAATAGAATTGATACCATGGCAGAAAAAGCAGGATATCAAGGAAATCCAGTTTCATTTCCATTGATAAATTAGAAGACATGCCCCATTACCTACTTTATTATCTTTGACTAATACCCTGTTTCCCCCAAAATAAGACATCCCCTGATAATAAGCCCAATCGGGCTTTTGAGTGCATGGCAATAAGGTCAAGCGCTTATTTCAGAGTTCAGAAAAAATATATAAGACAGGGTCTTATTTTCAGGGAAACACAGGTAGCCAACACCTACAGGTAATTGACTTTAAGAAATAATTTAGTAGAGATTTAGTAGCTAAGTGCAAAATTGTGCATTAGACTCCCACTTTATTTAATATATGTATGTATGTATGTATGTATGTATGTATGTATGTATGTATGTATGTAAGTTTTCATGGGTATATATGTGTGTATAGTTAATATTTCGGGTTTCTTCCCGTGTAATTGTGGATATATCCTATAATTCTACCCTTTTAGGGATATATCCACAATTACACGGGAAGAAACCCGAAATATTAACTATACACACACACATATATATATATATTTTAAAAATTCAGAATAAAATTAAAAATTCTTGCCTTGAACTTTGCAAACAGAAACATTTGGGGTAAACCTCTGAACTATTTTACAGTAATGTATTCTCACAAACCGTTCAGCGACCATCTCGTGGGCTGTTTAGCAAATCTGCTCTCGGTACTTTCGCGGGATCGCAATTTAAAAGGGTAAGAATTGCATGATAAACCACAACATTTCCCAGTTGTTCAAACCAGCCCGCGCGGAAACTTTTGCTTGTTCAGCTTCCCCCCACCCCCCCCAAAAAAGCAGAGGCATTAAAAAGAAAAACAAGAACAAATGGTTTCTAACCTTTTCCAAGCGGTTTTTCAGCTGCAGCCGCGACGAACCAGTGGCAGAAGGAAGAAAAAAGGAGAGGGGACATCGATGCGAGACGTGCTCTCATAGTGGCAGCTCTCCCGGGTTGAGTGAGCCGGTCAGCTTCGCCTCGGAGCCTGATCAAGGCAAGTCAGCCCTCCCGTGAAAAAAAGGAAGTGATGCTAATGGGGCGGAGCTGGGAGGGATTTGTTCAATTGTGGGTCCGGGGTAAATTTGAAGGAAACCAAAAAAGAGGTTCTCCAGATCTTTAGTGGAAGATTCAACCTTCAGAATGCAACCTATAGCTCAGAGGTCTTCAAACTTGGCCGCTTTAAGACTTGTGGACTTCAACTCCCAGAATTTCTCCAGCCAGCATAGCTGGCTGGAGAATTCTGGGAGTTGAAGTCCACAAGTCTTAAAGCGGCCAAGTTTGAAGACCTCTGCAAGCTGTTTCTCAAGAATTATATATATATATATATTGGTGGGGGAAGAATCGGAATAACATCTGAGCTGTTTGCTCCTTTGAATGAATGCAGCCCAAACTCGAATCCACGGCAGCCACGACGTGAGACTCGTCGGGGGGGGGGAAAAATACGACCGACTCCATTCTGCGCTTATTATGAAGCGCTATGTATGTCACCCACATACCATATTATGTATGCACCCACGTATTATGTATGCACCGGTGGGATTTACGTCCCCTCCTTGCCTACCGAGTAGGCTTTACTCCCTCACATGTGGATGGGGAAGGAAGGAGGAAACGTTAAGCTTCTGAAACCGGCAGCACAAGCTGAAATTTTAGTCTTTGATGGCAGGCGAGTTCCTGCTCAGGTCCGGGGGGGGGGGGGGGGGGAGGGGGAGAACAGCTTTAAAAACAACAAAGCAATGGACTCCGGTTTGCTATGTCTAAGGAAAACCACAACTCCCAGCATCCTTTGCTGCAAAAGTATTTTCTCCCCCCCACCCTCCTCCGCCTCTCCGCCTCCGCCTCCGCCACCACCCTCATGGACGTGCATAGCACTTGCCCGTAGCGGGAGCCGCGGAAGGGTGCGGCTGCCGGCGCCCATTTTATACACCCGACTCATTTTGTCCGCCAATTGGAGGAGAGGGGCGGGGCCATGGTCCCGTGGTTCCAAGGCCTTCTTGATCCAGACCCCTCTCACTCTCTCTCTCCCCCGTCACCGCCATCTTGTTGTTGCCGCGTGTTCCTTTTGGAAGGTTCCGTCGGACTGAGGTGAAAACTTCCCGCTTGACCCTCCGATGCTCTTGCGCCCCTCGCGAGCCCGGGGGCTGTTTGGCCGGCGCGCGGAGCGCCATGCACGGTGGGAGGGGCTGTGCTGGTGGGCCGAAGAGCGAGGGGGAGGAGAGTGGGCCTGGCAAAGTAGTTCGCCTCCCTGAAGCCCCCGGTTCCTTTGGTTGGCTTATTTCGCATTCCCGGGACCCTTTGCCTTGACCGCTCGCGCTTTCCCTTCGTACAGGGTTGGTTTATGTGGTTCCGGTCGTGTGAATGCACCTTTTTTTGCCGCCAACCCGAGGACTAGCGAGGTGTCCCGTGGACCTTTCGCAAGCTCCACCTCTTCTTCTTCCTCCTCTCTAAAGCACAACAGTGGCCTTTCTTCTACTTCCCTAAAAGTAAAGAAATGTTATTTTATTTTCTCCCGGGCCCACGATCTCTCACCTTCTTCCAAAGTCGCACCGCGTTCTCTTTCCTCAGAGGAGAAATATCCCTTGGATTCCCTCCAATCTTTCCCTCAGGACTGAAAGCTCCCCTCTCCCTGGGTTGGGAGACGGGGGTTTCGTCAGGCCCTTTCCCCAGCTTTGGGCTCTGGAGTTGTTAAGTCTACAAGCTTTTAAACCCGCTATTAGATTCTTTCACATATCTCTAGTTTTCTCCTAATCGCTACACTCGTGATTTTTTTTTTTTAAATTTTGTACGACTTGGTTTTCACTGTCTTTTCTCCAGAGTGTTTTTCCCCTTGGTATTATATCTGCGTATTGCGATTTTTACAAATTGACATCCTGCTGGTGGTTAATAAAAAAAGGTGTATGAAATAAAGCATATTATTGCTAATTACCATTATGAGTAATATCAATCTTTATGACTAGGATAATTAGCCACTATATCAGCTTTCTTTGACATGCCAGGTTCCAAAGCAGGGAGGATTTTGGCTGCCTTAGTAGATGTCTATTTTGCAGGAATAATATATTATGTCCCCCCTCAAGTACTATATGTACTTGTTTCACCTACTTTGGGTTACAGATGTACTCCTGGTTTTATTAAAGATTAAAATAAAGTATTGTCCCAATACAATACATCTTCCTTTTCCATAATGTGAGCAAATTTGTATTTTCAAGATCACTGACAAAGGAATTTATTTTACCTGTTTCTGAGAACATGTTTCTCACTGTCTTGAGTGGGGGTTTAACTTTGTAGGGCTCTTTTCTGTTTTGCTGTCTAATATGCTCTCATTTTCAATTTACAGATATTTCAGTTCTGCAAAGATTTAAGTCAATTATTATCTTAGAGTTCTATATAGGTCTGGTGGAATATGACATTTTGTACTATAATGAGAAAAAAAATGCATCCTAGCTTTCAACTTGCTGGAGCTTTACATGCTCTGCTAAACACAGAACAGTATGGTTCACATTAAAGGGCATGTCATTGCTAATCCAGTGGAAAAATCTCTAAACTATAAGTAATGTTAGGATGATTTGATTGATGATTATATGCTGAAGTTGGTTATTTTTAACTCTTGGCTTGTTGGGACGATGTTGGGAAATAATGCAAGTGCAGGTAAAAATAATGGTAGAACTATAGGAGATTCTAAGAGTGTGCACAGATATAGCAGGAAAATAAATGACAACATGTATATAGCATGGAGAAAATTAATAGGTATATATTTTATCATTCAGTGTATTTTTTTATAATGTATTGTATGTCTTCCCATAATAATTAAATATAAAGGGTTAACAGTTTATAAAAACAGTTAAGTCAGTCATTTTGAAAAAGTTAGATTGTAGAGCAAGGTCTCAAGGTCTTGATTCCTTTTATAAAAGTGAAAAGAAGGACTTCATGCTATTCCTAAAGGCATGCATTCCATGACTGGAGAACTACTATATGGGCGAAAGCATTTTGGCCTATAGATGACACTCAGGAGGGTATCTTTAAAAAGACTTCCCTTGATATTAATATTTGTTCATGTTTATTTCAGAGAAACACCCCTCCACATAATCAAAAGTAAAATGCTGACATTGGCACTCTTGTGATACACTTATATGTAAGCATAGTTTTATAGAAAAGATAACTAACTGGCTGTGTTTTATGGGTTTTCTGTATTTTTGTAGAATTGCAGTTGTACATATACTTCCTCAAACCCATCTAAATTATGTTAGAATTCTACTGCAAAGTGAATCAACATGTGAAGTATATATTCATATTTCCCATTTATTAAAGGTAGCATTATATAGCTGTAGATAAATTACTATTTCTTATGAGTGGTACCATAAGGAGTGATGACCCTTAAAATGCTGTTCTAAAATTCATAGTGAAAAGAGAAAATACCAATGTAATTAACCTGCATTTACATTAACTTTGCCATATTCTGATCATATGCTTTTTTATTTCTTTAATATTGTAGCAATAAATGATTTATAATTACCTGGACATGTGGATAAAGGTGGACTTAATTCTCATTAGCTTCCATTTTTATGTGATAGAATTATACTGCAGTGTTTCCCAACCTTTCTGGCTTTGCGGACCAGCGGTGGGGAGGGGATGATTCTGTGCAAGTGGCAGGCAAGTACTTGAAGTTCCATTTGCACAAGCAGCAGGCACACATGCCCACCATTTGTGCAAATGGAGCACACATACTCGCCTGCTGCTCATGTAAGTGGAGAGTGTGTAGACATGCTCAACTGCCATTTCTGTGGCCTGGTTCCAAACGGTTCAAGGCCTGGTAGTGGGTCGCAGCCCAGGGGTTGGGGATCCCTGTTCTACTGTATTAAGAGGAAGAACTTTTCTCTTGCTTAAAATAATAAATCACATAGGGTACATATTCTCCCTAATGCCTTTATTTTATTTAGTGAATATTTATCAGTGAATATTTGCTATTTACATCACAGACAAAACAAACATTGATATTAAGGTCAGTGTGTCAGGGCAAAACCAGTTGTGACGGTAGAGCGTACAACTCCCTTTTCCTCTTTCTGATAAAAGACAGTCATGTTTCCATTATGTATTCCTTCTCCAAACAAACTGGGTTCAGAAATAAGTATGGATTTATTTTTGTTGGTAAATTGCTGATGTTTTATGATATTAAATCAGATAAACTTGATGTTTTGAAAGACAATAAATAATTTAAAAATGAATTCTGGATTTGTCATAAACCTAGCTAGTAAATTTATTTTTCAGATAAAGCAAGATGAATCAAGAAAAACTGGCTAAACTTCAGGCTCAGGTCCGAATAGGTGGAAAGGTATGTATAGTGAACACAGGAATATTCTAGAAATTACTGCATATATTTGTGTAGGTAAATACATATATAGGTACAAAGTATTGATATAATAGGGATTTGTTCCACATTTCTATTTTCCACAGGCTGTTGTCCATTCTGATGTATTCAATAGTTATAGATATAGTAATCAGGACTTCCTTTTTCTTTTTTTTGGAAAAAACATGCAAGTAGTTGTTGAATGTTATTATCTAAAAGCAGAACTGATTTTCTCATTGAAAGATCCAGTCCTATATATTAAAACCAATAGACGCTATATTTCTATAGATTGTATGACCTCTAGCTTAATGGGAAAGAAACAGAAACAGAGCCTGCCCCTGTAAGTATTACCCAGGGATACAAGGACTGCACACAGATAACATATACATGCATTTAACATATGACCACATACTGTAATGATTGAGATGCTTTGGCAAAAACAGGAATAAATTAGAATTTTCAACTGAGTTGGATAAAAATCTTTTGAAATAGTTTCCTGCCTAGAAAATCTCATGCTGGAAGGCATTTTATTGTAGTTGTAAGTCCTTTTTGATTAAAAATAGTTTATAAATAACTTTTTAAAGTAAGTAGATATGAAACATTTCATTTGGAAATAATTCATGTATGTATTTTTGTATCTTAGGGTACAGCTCGTAGAAAGAAGAAGGTAGTCCACAGAACAGCAACAGCTGATGATAAAAAACTTCAGAGTTCACTTAAAAAATTGGCAGTAAACAATATTGCTGGCATTGAAGAGGTACATCAATATTAATATTTTGTTATATTTGAATGCTTTTCATAATCGTAACAATTACAATGCTTCAGTATT